TCACTCTCATAGCTACTAAATGCGAATATTGTTCTATTGATGACTTCTTCTCATTCACTTCGTCTCATTTCACTTCACAGTTCGAAACAACTTCTTATTCTGTAGATATACTATTTACTGGATCCGTCGACGAGTGCTGACAAACGAAATCAACAATGCAGCAATCGAATATTATTGCTTAACAACGTTTGACAGTTAAATGATCAATTATAAAATGTGTTTGATAGAATGAGAATTTGGCTTTGATTATTCAGTGAAATGAATGAGAAATTAGCAGAAGCGAACACTTTTGGTGATAAAAGCTATGAGAACGATTGCAACAGCAAGGAATGGAATGAAAATCCGGTTAAAACTAATGAAAACTCTGTTCGGCCCAAATGAGATAATGATATTTATCAAAAAATAGGAGATTGAAGAGTGTTGCCATCAACTAACCGTATTTAAATACTTGAGTTAAAAAACACCATCACAATGACGCTCTATCATAGCATAACAACCGCACGAAATACTAATTTCCCGACCCCTCCATTATCCCTTGACACCTCCAAATTACCCAAAATAAGTAATTTCACCCCCTATGAGAAATACTGTGTTAAACAGATATATTATTATACATTATCACAAATAATTCTGAGTCAACAATATGGAATTGGAAAGAGAACGATGATTCGAAGAATTATCATCGAGCAAGTTCGCATTTGTAATCGCCGTATATGGTAATAAAAATACCCAAAACATGAGTTCGCCAATATAATGATTCACAGCAGAACTCCAAAACGCGCAAGCACTACCGCATTGTGAAGGTCGCAGTGTTTTCGTTTACTCAAAGTATTCCCCTGGGACATTCGATCACTGGAGTTGTCATAGAATTGCTCTCTGCAGCACAAAGCGCCATACTACCACCTTTGAATGCATGAACTGAACAAGTAAGCAGGTTGCCGGATTCCGAAGTAGATTTAGCAAAAAACTGGGATATGTGAATGGAACGGCTGAAAATTGTCAGCTGATCGTAGTACTTACCGATGATTTTGAAACCATATCTTCACTTGAGTCGGTGTCAAACGAATTTGCATGGCTAGCTGCTCACGCTCTGGTGCTGATAGATATCGCTGGGTGCGGAATCGTCGCTCTAGTTCATAGGTTTGTGCTTTCGTGAACAGCACACGTCTCTTTCGTCGTTTTTTCTTTCCACCTCCAACGCTGCCTGACATTAAAAGTTACTGTGAATGACTGAGCTCTGTGAACTTATCACGATTTTCGCTGAAATTTCGTGATAACACACGAATGCGTCTC